ACACAGTAATCATTGACATTATTGAATTTCTTTGATTTATTCTTCATTTATATTTATTACAGAATCAAGAAGCTCTTGATAAATTATATGGACCCTTAAAGGACAGATATAAGGACAGATATGGTGGATTTGTAAAAATAACTGCAATACCATGTCCACCTAAAGCATTGTACCCCAAAATGGCATATGTAGAACTAGTGGATAATGAACTTGAACCACTTCCAAGTTTTCCTGTCATTAGGCAAGGAAAGATAGTAGTGTATGGAGAAGATAGCAATAATGAAGTGGAAAATGCTGTGGCTCTAAAAAGTTAGATTGACTAACTTGTTTTTCCCTGAGAAATAATTCAGTCAACCTTTTTATATGGGGGCCCATCCTGGTCAAATTAGCTTTATTTATTTTTTCCTGTTATCAAATTATTTTTMTAGTCCCTTGTAATTAATATTGCAGTGATTTTCAATTATCAATTACAGTTTAATTATTTTTGTCAAAGCTGCATTCATTTGACATGAAATTATTTTTGTTTTTGTTTTTTTCTTTTTATGTTTTAAATATTTATGTGCCAATTATTATTTGAGTGTTCGGATTATTTTTGTGGTATATTATTTTTTTGAGTGCTCGCATTATTATCGTGATAAATTGTTTTTCGAGTGCTCGAATTATTTTTGTGGTATATTATTTTTTTGGTGTGTTCGAATTATTTAGCATATCCCGTGAGTCTGTGCGGGAGCTGTCTCGATATTACTGGGAACAGGCCCACAATTCTTCACAGGCGTGTTAATTCTAAAATGGCGGCATAAACAAAAAAGAAGATGCCTCGAAGTAGAGTTATTAGGGAAAGAAATGAGAGAGGCTTTTTATACTTTCTTCAAACTTTGAAGTCTCTCTTGCGTCTGTTTGTTGATCAAGACGGTCTAGTGTTTAATACTATTGAGGAAATTGTAGAATCAAGAAGTCGTTTGGTCGATGCTGCAGGCACTTTAATGATGATAGAGCATGACCTTACTCATAGGGACACAAATGTTACTGGAATACCAACTGAAGCTATCCAACTGCCCATTCAAAACTTAAGGCACTCTGTGATGTATATAATCAACCTTTTATCCGCTAAAATAGAACAAAGCGAGACTGTTGACTTTTATGATGAAGTCGACARTGCTTATCATGCACCTTTGAAATCAGCACAGGGGCCTGGGCGAAAAGCATACGATATATCAAAAGAACAAGTTGAACATTTACGTTCTCTTTTCTTCTCGTGGACAAAAATTGCTGCCATTCTTCAAGTCAGCGTATCAACTCTTCAAAGACGTCGCAAAGAATTTGGAATCAGTGATGAATTAGAGAAATATTCAGATGTTTCAGATGATGAATTGGATAGAATTCATGCAGCTATTTCAGGAAACTTTCAGGATGGTCCTCTAACTCCAAACATTGGAAGAAGAAGATTCATAGGTGCACTTCGAAGTAGGGGTTTACGAGTTCAGAGGTGGAGGGTCAGTGAATGTTTGCATCGGGTTGATCCAGTGGGAACAACCTTACGTTGGAGAATGGCCATTCACCGCAGAAAGTACTTTGTTCCAACGCCAAACAGCCTATGGCACATTGACTCTGGACATAAATTGATTAGGTACAAGTTGATTACCCATGTTTGTATTGACGGAAAGACCAGACTGCTGATATATGTTCATTGCTGTAACAACAACAAAGCAGACACTGTCCTTTCTTTATTTCAAGATGGTGTTCAAAGAATGGGTCTCCCATCAAGAGTTAGAAGTGATTATGGAATGGAAAACTTTARGGTTGCACAGTATATGCTAGAACACAGAGGAGAGGGAAGAGGGAGTATTATCACAGGTTCTTCAGTTCACAATAGCAGAGTTGAGAGAAGTCACAGAGACATCTATGCTGGTGTGCTGACCTTTTATTCACACATATTTCAGGCAATGGAAGATGACGGCATTTTAGATGTATTGAATSACATTCATTTGTACAGTCTCCATCATGTCTTTATTCCTCGCATAAATAAATCTCTGCAGGAATTTGTACTACAAATGAACAATCATCCGGTGTCAAGCGAAAAAAACAAATCTCCTCTTCAAATGTGGCAGGAAGGAATGCTTGAAAATATGTATTCTGGACATACTGCATTGTGTCCATCAGAAATTGAAGAATTTGGAGTTGACCCAGAGGGATTACTTTCAGTTGAAGAAGAAGACTACCAAGTTAACATAGAGCCTCCATCAGTCAATCTCTCTGAAGAACAATTTGAGCAGATTTCCAATCTAGTGCAAGTAGATGATTACTGTGGTATAGGTTCTTTCTTACACTGTGTTGAAATAATCAATAGATTTCAGCAACATCATTAGTATATATGTATGTCATTATTTTGTTTGACTTAAAGTCGCTTTTATAGAGCAGAGTCACTTGAACCATGAAAGAGAAACTAAATACTTACCGGTGTAGTAACTAATAGGCACTATTTAGACATTATCACTGAACCAGAACAGTACAAATAATAAAGAAAAGAGATTACTTTGATTGTTATAGTGGTCTCTTGGGTATTGCTTATTGGATCAAATAAACTGTTCTGGTTCAGTGCTAARGACTATTAGGAYCTAATAGTSCCTATTAGTTAGTACTTTTTAGTTCTTATTTCATGGTTCATGTGACTCTGCTCTAGCTCTAACTGTGAACAGGAGTGATAGTTATGAAGATAGTCATACAGTGACTGCGTTTAGAATTTCGATTAGCATGTAGAATTGATCTAGACAAAACTTGTCCTTTACATGTACTTTGTCTGTATACAGGTGGGTTTTCAGTGACACATTTAATAAATAAACTGCTGATTGAGGGGACAAGAAACATAAACAAAATGTGTTTGTTACCATGTGCAAGCAACATAAGTGTACATGAATAAATGCAAAAGGAGTACATGAGTTCATGATCACATATTTATGGGATCCCTTTCTATCTGCTTTATATCTAATTCAAGTTTGAAGGGTATGTGTGTGAAAAATAAGCCCTATGTAAAATAACAGTTACATGTAAAATTGTATAATAAGACAAGGAACTCAAACACCATATTGTAGTTCAACAAAAGAAAAGACTTTATTAAGCGTAAAAAGTTTAAATGTTGTTTCATTGCATTTTATATTAGTAAATAAAACACTTAAAGATTTTCAACAACATGTTTTATTGTGACTTGGAAACAATCAAGTGTTGTTTA